GACACGAGATTCAGGAGGGATATTCGGGGTGAGTGGTTTCCTGCGGAGAATGTGGGTCATTTGCGGGTTGATGATGGGATTTTTTTTGAAAATGTAGCGACGAGGGCTGTGAGATTTAGCTAGAATCGACGGTGGTTGATCGGTCCGACGAATGCTTCTAATCAGACTACAGATTAGAAGGGTTTCCCTAACCTGAACGCACTACAGAGTCGCCCAATTTTCAGGTAGAGACAAAACCAGTCTTTGAGTAGAAGGATTCCACCCATACGCTCTTCCGTAGACTTGGTTTGCTACCCGAGATAGCCTCTTGAAAACCTCCCTATGAGCATCTCCAATAGACGGCCACATATAAAAACAACTAACTTTTGTAGCTTCAAGAGCAAAAAGCGTTGCTCCAATAGACGGTCCATATGTATAAAAAATTTGGATCAACGCCTCCCGAAGATGTAAAATTGAAAACTCCGTGATGCAAATTTACATCACGAGATACAACTGATGTAAAACCGTGCCCGCCCGCCAAACGACCAACCGCCACTTCATTTCCCTTCCGCCTGGCAACCGCGCGCCCGCTCCCCGCCCCGCCGTAGATCCAGCCCCCGCCGCGCCGCCCCATCGCGTCCGCCTCCGCTCCGGCCGCCTCCGCCACGCTCCGACCCCATCCGCCTCCTCTTCGGCCGCCTCCGCCTCCACTTGGCCCTGCTCCGTCTGCCTCCGCCCGGCCCCGCTCCGTCCGCCTCCTCTCCGACCGCCTTCGCCTCCGGTCTATCCGCATTCGCCTCCGGTCCGTTCGCCGCCCCGCTCCGTCCGCCTCCTTTCCGGTCGCCTTCGCCTCCGGTCCGTCTGCCGCCCCGCTCCGTCCGCCTCCTCCCCGCGCCGCACGCCGCCACCCCGCTCCCCGCTCGGCCTCGCCCGCTCCCCGATGTCACCAAAGAAGACGCCGAAGGGCAAGTCCGTTTTCTTTGGCGTGAGGGCGAAGCCCTCCGGGAACTTCGGAGTCGAGTTCTTCGACGCCGGGCGACGTTGGTGGCTCGGCACGTATCCCGCCGGCGATGTGGCCGCGCGTGCCTACGATGCGGCGGTGTGCCATGCCAGACAGCCGAAGATGGACCTCAACTTCCCGGAGGTTGAGTCCCAGGCGGTGGCGTAGTGGCTCGTGCCGCAGGGCATCCGGATGGAGGAGATGCCGGCGAAGAAGGCGAAGAAGAGATTGACAGTTGTCGTCGCTCCCGGCGAGAGCGACGAGGCGGTGATGGCTTAGTTTGCGCGAGAGCATCCGCATTACGTCCAAGTCAAGCTAGAACACTACTGGAAGTGCGACGTCGACGCGAAAAAGAAGGGGGTAAAGAAGGAGGACGAGGCCGACCCCTTGACCGTGATCTCTATCGAGTCGTGGATGAGGGACTGGGGTGACTCTGAGGAGGAGGACGAGGGGTGCGATGACCCGACCAAGGACGAGTTCTGGGAGTAGTTCCGCAGCTCCGACGATGAGGAGTAGTTTCATCTAGTAGTTCGAATAAGTAGTAGTTGAATTTGTGTATGAAACTATGTTGAATTTCATGTTTGAACTATGTTGAGATGAAGTAGTAGTTGGTCGTTTTAATCTTTGTTTTGGACCATCTGTTGGAGTTGCTCTTTTATTTACATCTCCGTTTTGGACCATCTGTTGGAGTTGAGCCTTTTTCCGAGATGTAAAAAACACTTTTTGGTACTCCAAATTTGGACCATCACCGGTTTGAAGCACCAAAATATACATCATCTATTGGAAACGCTCTAAGCCTTTTTTGCACTCCTTTTCTCTGCAGAGTCGCTCATGAATCCAATAAAGAACACAGGGGTAAATATTATATTGATAGATTTTGAAAGGAAAACACGTTGAAAACATGATTTGTTGCTTGTTTTCCAAATTGTCCAGACCAAAGCAGTAGCACCAATAGAAATAATAGCCCTATCCTTGCCAAAATATAATGGTATCCAGTTTTGACAAAGATCAAAGAAGATAAAGGTAATTTTGGGTTACCTAGCAAACCACAAATCACATTCCATAAAAACCTAGCAAAAGAGCTTGAAAAGAATAGATGATCAATTCTCTCAAAGACATCGCAAAAGTCGCGAAAATTTAATCCTTTCCACCCTCGTCTAGATAAGTTATCGTTGGTTAGGATCCTTTTCTTCTTTGTTCTTGAATCGTCGTCATCCCATCTTAGAGACCTACGTTCACTCCGGCCTCCTGCTTCAGCTCACGGGAGCTTCATCTATACATGTTTTTTTAGTTAAGGAGCCTGACCGAGCCTCCCGCTCCCGATTTTATTAAAACTGAAACCGCACAAACCACAAAGTTGTAACCAACATATTAACATGGCTCGAAGGAGGCAAGTAGGAAACATTGAAGATGAAGGGAGAGAAGCTACAAAAGAAGAGAGCGAGGTGGGATGCTATTCAATATAGTACAAGGCGCAAGAAAGGGACGGAGATGGGTATGCTTAAACTTGAGGAGGGTCGGTTGATGCAAGCCAGGATAGTCACGAGGAGAACCGATTCATGATGTAGGATCTGAATACCATGGATCCAATAACAATATAATTTTGGGAGTTCACATGAGCAATGATCATGCATTTTAGGATGACATGGGACGACCAACATGATGGAGGAGCGGACGATGCACATGCCGGCGGAGCAGACTGTCACTGAAGGATGGAACGACACAAACCCCGGAGCTCACAATATACGATAAAGACATGTCGGCCGAATGCTTTTTTTTTGTTCATGCAACTTGTTTAAAAATGTGTACATGATTACTCTTGGAATGATATGTGTTCAATCCAAGTGTTTGAATGATAAAATGGTTTTTTAATGACTGAGATATGACGACTCTTAGTTTTATGAAGCTTGATTCATAGACATTTTAAATGATTACACATAGGGTTTCTTTTTTTAGAGCAGTGCTAGGCATCGCCCTGTTGAAGCAATGGAAAAGATCTACCGTCTCCCTATCGTCGGATTCAGACAAA